AGGCGTTTCGCTTGAGTTTTTTCCACCATTCACGATCCGGAAGCTTGGAAATGTGTATTCGTTTCGCGGATGGAGGGCGGATCGTTTTCAACAAGTGGCTCTCGCCCCAGCGACGCACGCATTTGGCTCAAACGTTCGCAGCAATTTCACGGATGGAGGGCGCGCCATTTTTCAAATGTGGCTCTCGCGTCAGCGCCGCGCATCTTCCTTGTAGAAGTTTGCAACTTTTTCAGGGATGGAGGGTGTACCGTTTTCCAAATGCGACTCTCGCTTCAGCGCCGCGCACATTCGTTGTAGAAACTTGCAACTGTTTCAAGGATGGAGGGCGGTTCCTTTTCAAAACGTGGTTATCGCCTTAGCATCGCGCAAATTTGCTTTCAACGCCTGCGACAGTTTGACTGTTTCGTGTGGTAGAAGTAATAGGACTTGTATTCTGGCACGATTAAGCACAGTCAGGACGCAACAGTCACGTTGATTTGCGGTGTTGAGGTCCCAGGAATGGCGTTCTGGCACGATGTATGATTGCCAGGACGCAACAGTCATGCTCATTCGTGGCATTGAAATCCGAGGAGTGGTGTTTTGGTACGACTGAAGAAATTCACACGGTTGTCCTTCGATGGGGCACTTTCCGCAGTGAAGAGTGAAGATAATTTCGTGTAGGGACCTATGAAGAGGGAACGTGGAGGGAGGGTCTTTCGCAACATCGCTGGTGCGTCTTGGGTTTGCATTCCTCCTCTTCTTCCTCTTTCTCTTCCGAACGCGTCGGGATGAAGTCCTGCATCTGGCATACCAAAGCAGAAATGGAACACCACACTGCTGCTGCTGCTGCTGCTGCTTCCCCTCCTCACCTCCCGGGCACCTTGACGACCCCCGCGTCCTGGCCGAAGTCGTCGACGGGCGGACAGCGGGTCGTCGCAAAAAGGCGGAGGGGACGGCCCCGCTGCCCGTCACGGGCCCGCCAAGGCCAGAATTGGACCTTTTCTTTCCTCAAGTGCATCTGAGATCTGGGACGAGAGTCGCTCACGTGGGAGACCCAAGGCAGCAGTGGCCACCTGGCGCCTGCTCTCTCCTGCCCCGACGACTCTGCAGGAATCGCACGAAGCGCCAGGCGCAAAGTCTACACCCTAGGCGATGCTTAAGAAAACGTAAGGTTTCGGCCAGAGTCTTGATTATTCTTATTGTTTCAATGGAAAACCTAACTTTTTTAATAGAATTGTTGGGCTTTTATTCAAGTTCTGAGACTATGAATTTCTTAACCCATGATTTCTTTAGCACTTCGCAGGGTGTAGAGCTCTCTCGGGGAAGGAGGCAGCAGCGGTCCGTTCCCGACCCGCCCAGTCCCTTCACTCCCCCCCCCGCCCCACCCCCGAAGGAGAGGCCACAGGCAGGCGCTCCGCGCCCGGGAGCGCCCCTCGCTCCAACAAACATGAAGGGGGGAGGGAGGAGGGCCCGCCCATTCGCCTCCCCCAATCCTCAGCACTCGGGGGAGAGGAGAAAAGAGGGAATGGGGCAGAAACGTGCGGCTACCCAGATCGGGCTGTTTCCCCCTCCCCACTTGGCCCGACTTGACAGGGGCCCGAGTTAAGACGGCTTGGGTGATGCCTTGAACAGGAGCGCCCACGGGAAAAGGGGACCGGGCGAAACAGGAAAGGAGAGGAGAGGGGGGCTCCTGGCCACATTCTTACCAACCTCACGACTCCTCCCCTCCGAGTCCACCTTTGCATCCTTGCCGCACGAATCCCAATCCACTTCCCATCAGTCGAGGTCGGACTCTGACGTGTCCGAACGGATATTGAGGCGGCGCCGCACAACGCGCTTCGCCTCACCATACTGTCCCCCTTTGTCGCCGCCGAGTCTCTAAGCTGGGCGTCGCGCTGCTTACGCATGCGCTGCCATTCCCCCTGGAGCTCATCGAAATCGCTCTGCTTGACAGCAATGCCTAGGCATAGAGCGGGCTGCACGTCTGGCTTCTTGCCTGGCAAGGCTCTGGTGGGGGTCGTCAGGGTTGCAGCCTTGGCTGAGGCTGCCGCCTTACGAATCGAACCTGTCACCACGTGGGCGGGCGGAGGCTCTGGAGGTGGTGAAGACTTGGGGTGAGGGCTGGACCACTTCGCTCGCGGCATCCTGGAGCCTACACCGCCCGTGAGCAGCACCGCTTTCGGCGTCTGGGAGGGTCTAGCTATGGCTGAAATGCCATGCTTGGGATTTACTGTCAACCAAGCTCCTGATCGCGCGCGACCGTGCTGCCTCGTACGATCCGATCCTATGGGCTGCTGCTCGAGCAGCACGTCGAGGGTGACAGGCACGCCTTCATAGACAAACTGCACCCGCAGTCTAGGCATCCCTTGAGCGCTCTGGCCATGAGGCGGTCCGCGTCCGTACACGGGCAGCTAGGGGTATTGCAGCACGGGAGCGGGCCTCGGGTTCCTCCGACCATGTGGGCCAGGATGTGGAACGCTCTCTGAAGGCTCGACCCAAGTGCTGCAGGGGCATGAGGGAGCTGGTGGGAGGGCGGAGCATGATGGGAGCTTGCAAACATACACACATGGAGGGAGCGAGGGGATTTCCTTTCCATCCTCCGATGAGCCACCCAAACCACGCACACAAAACCCGACCACACACACGCACACCCAATACTCGAAACTCTCTCCCACTCCTCCAGGCCAAGTGTACTTCCTCCTCCTCCTCCTCCTCCTCCTCCTCCTCCTCCCTCCTCCCTCCCTCCTCCTCCTCCCTCCTCCCTCCTCCCTCCTCCCTCCTCCCTCCTCCCTCCTCCCTCCTCCCTCCTCCTCCCTCCTCCTCCCTCCTCCCTCCTCCCTCCTCCCTCCTCCCTCCTCCCTCCTCGCCCGAGCGAGCCCAGGAGATGCTGCCGGCAGACCCCAGCGAGGGCGCGGTGGGGCTCGCCTTGATGCGGGGCCAGCTCCCGTGCTCGCTGACAGAGCCGCACGTCGCGTACAGGCGACCCACTCTCGCGCTGGCGGGTGCAGACAGACGATGAGTAAAAGGAAGGGGGAGGAGGAGGAGGAGGCGGAGGAGGAGGAGGAGGAGGAGGAGGAGGAGGAGGAGGAGGAGGAGGAGGAGGAGGAGGAGGAGGAGGAGGAGGAGGAGGAGGAGAGGAGAGGAGGGGGGGGGGGGCTTCAGGGGCCAACGTCCAGGGGGCCATAGGCTACCCATTCGCCATCTGTTGCCGATAGGGGCTGGACAGCCAGCCCCCGCCCCAGGAAACGGTGCGGTTCCGCTACCGAGGGCATGTTGCTGATCTATCGGCAGTGTATCGCCGATTGCAGGTCGACGCCCCCCCCCCTCCGCGACCCACAGTGCCCCCCCCCCCCCCCCCCCCAAAGTTCCCCCTCGGGAGCGGGGAGGGTGACAGGGGATGACGGATAGGGGAGAGAGATGAGAGACGAGGGGTAAAGATGACGGAGGGTAAGGGGGAGGAGAACACTATGGAAGGAGGGGAGAGGCGAAGGCGGAGCGGAGGATGGGGAGGAGGAGGAGGATGAGAAGGATGAGGAGAGGGGAGAGGGGGAGGAGGAGGAGGAGGAGGAGGAGAGGAGGAGGAGGAGGCAGGAGGAGGGTGGAGGGGAGGGGAGGATGAGTATGAGGAGATAGGGGGGACGAGCGACGAGATTGAGAATCTACGATGGAGGGGACGAGCTTTAGAGACAAACAGTCGAATCCTCCCCCTTTCCTCCTCCTCCTCCTCCTCCTTCTCCTCCTCCTTCTCCTCCTCCTCCTCCCTTCTCCTCCTCCTCCTCCTTCTCCCTTTTCCTCCTACTCTTTTGTGTTGGTCCAAGGCTGACCTATAACCGGTGCCTCGTGTGCGCCTTCCCAAATTCGGCCCGCTCCCATTCCATGTGGTTCGGCTGCGGCAGCCGTCTCTGGACGCGCTCATCTTTCTCCCTTGACTTCTCTTTCCTCCTCCTCCCCGCTCCCTCCTCCGCCTCCTCCCTCTTCACCTCTTCACCTCTTCGCCTCTTCTCCTTCACCTCCTGTTCCTCCCCCCCCCTCCTCCTCCTCCTCCTCCTCCTCCTCCTCCTCCTCCTCCTCCTCCTCCTCCTCCTCCTCCTCCTCTTCCCCCCCTTGGAGCCTCTAGAGGCACAGCAACACATCCCAAACTATCAACAATCTGAATCCTCGTCGCCCTGGCCTCGACAAGAAAACCTCGATCCTCGATCCCCGACTTCGCCCGTGGCTTCGATCCTCGATCCGAAAATGTTGGCTTTCGACAGCCCTTTGGGCCAGGTCGAAAAAGAACAGACATATGCCGCGCATGTCAGAGGTCGGTTCAGCTGTGAAGCAAGTGAGCTCCACTCAGAAATCGACCATGACAGCAGCAGTGACAGCGACGACGACGGAGAGGATGAAGCGACAGCGACCACAGCGACGACAGCGACGCCAGAGAGGATGGCAGCGACGGTAATTAGCGACGACGGCGACGGCAGCAACGGCAGCGACGACGGTGACGACAGCGACGACAGCGACGGCGACCCAGACATCCGGCCGCTCCAATTTTTTTCGATGCGTGGGCCCCGGAGGTCCGAACCGCTTCCCCGTGGCTGGTTCTTCGTCCCGAGTAGTCTTTTCGCGCTCCCGAGGCCCAGCGAGGGCCCCTGGAGGCCGAAAACAGCCAAAATCCCGCCGCCCTTAATTTTTGTTGGAGCGTCGGATCTCTGGGGACAAGAAGGCGAGGCGAGAGGACGGAGCGGGTCGGGGTCAATGGGCAGAAGCGCAACGCGGCCAGATGTCGGGCCCCGGCCTTCGACATTGCGCCAGTCGCCGACCTGGAGCAGTGCCGCACCAGGTTGCCGCGAGCCGCATGCAGAGCGGCAGGATGGAGGATGAGGAGGGAGGAGGAGGAGGAGGAGGAGGAGGAGGAGGAAGAGGAGGAGGAGGAAGAGGAGGAGGAGGCGGAGGCGGAGGCGGAGGCGCAGGCGGAGGAGGAGGAGGAGGAGGAGGAGGAGGAGGAGGAGGAGGAGGAGGGCGAGCAGAAAGGCCAGAGGCCTTTTGGATGCCTCTCGGAGTCTCTTTGGATTTTTTCCGAGATCTTCTTGGAGTCCTCTCGGGGCGTTTTGGGGATCTCTTGGCAGTCCCGCGGGCCTCTTGGGGCCTCTCGGATGCCTTTGGGGGGCCTCTTGGGCGCCTTGGGGTGCTCCAGGGCCGTCTTGGAGGCCATCTTGGGTGTCTTGGAGGTCTCTTGGGCCGTCTTGGGGCCCTCTTGGGCCCGTCTTGGGGGCCTCTTGGGCCGTTCTGGGGCCATCTTGGAGGCCTCTTGATTCTAAAGTGAGCTGGAACAAGGGCGAGAGATAGCGAGCGTTTGTCCGCGGCCACTTGGGCTCAAGCGGCCGGCCGCCAACATATGACTGCGCCTCATCGCGAGGCACACTACTTGCCATCGAGACCGAAAACATCTTCGCTTGAGATGGTAGTAGTAGTGGGAAAAATGGCAGCGGCGTCCGGCGTGCGGAAGTGGAAGCGCGCTTGCGGATGGCGGGTTGAACGCGGGTCAGCGTAGCGTCGTTGAGACGGTAGCATATCAGGTGTTGGAGCAGAAGTTCGCGGGCCCCGCTAGGAGTCAGAGGGGAGCTCAGAGTCGTTCTGATACGCGGCCCCTCGCGTGGGTGCTGCGTGGCGGGCCAGCGGCGGGGGGGGGGGTCGTCGCGAGCAAAATCTGGAAGAAACTGTTCGATGGCATGGGCGCGCGGCGCAGACTCCCAGGTGGCAGCCTTCCAGGCCACAAGCGCGTCGGCTCTCGGCGGGAATGCGATCCGCAGTGCATTTGGGATCGGCGTGAACGAAGCGAAGGAGTCAAGTGCGGGGTGCGACGGGGGCGCAGAGCCCAAAAAGAAAACCAAAAAGGAAATGGCCGCGCAGCGCATGTCACAGTGGAAGTGGTTGGTAGTGGGCGAGGCGAGCGTGGTAAGCGCGGACTTCCCAGCAGAGCTCGACCCTCACTTGCCTTCGTGCGTGTCGGCAGCAAGTGGCGCGAAGGTGGGTGGAGACGGCGTGGACGGGCCATTCGGGGGCGTGAGTGCGTTGTTTTGGGGATCTCTATCAATCTGGGCCGCCGTCGGGGACAGCCATTAACGCGCTGCCCACGTCGTATTTGACAAAAACGAGGGGAAGTGCGCACCTGGTGCCGCGGAGGACCACGGGCAGTATATTTTTTGGGGGGCAGGAGGCGATGGGGCAGTGCAGGGGATGACGGGATTGGCGGAGTGCAGGCGCGCGGGGGACCAGGGCGACTGGTTATTTGGAGTGCAGGGCGAATTTTTCCGAGGAGAGCTCTCGGAACGCGCGCGCATTTTTTGGGCATGGTAGACCGGCAGATGTTCCGGGGTCGTGGGTGAACGGCGCACTGTTGCGCGGGGGCGCGCGTCGTGTGAGAGACGCAGAGACACTTGCGAAACAGAGCGGGCTAGAGTGCGAGGAGTGCAAAGTTGAGCGAGAAAGGGGGCAATGCTTCGCGACGTCGCCGGAAGACGCGCGGTTTCGCGGGGGAAAATTTGTCGACGTTGTCGTCTCTTATTCAAGGCAGGGCGTTGTTGCCACGTCGGGAAGCAGAGAGGCGTGCAGCGGGCGAAGTTGCGAGGAGAACAGCTGCTGTTGGTTGCAGCCAGAAGCCGCCCGTTCCATAGCGGGGAACAGTGGCGGCTGTGCGCGGCGGAGGACAGAGTGTGGTGGCTGGGGTACCGCGACACGGAGTGCGCGAGCCTGCCTGGGTGGCTACCGCTGGCGAAGGGGATGCCCGTGGTTTTGGCAGATCACATGAATCGGTCGAAGATGGAGCTGTTGCGGGGGGCGCGCAGCGACGATCCATGGATGGGTGTTGCACGAGGGCGAGGTTTTGGGAGATGAAGACGAGGAAATCTTGTTGCGCTTGCCGAGAGCGATTGTGTTAGATTTCCATACGAAGGAATGGCGCCAGCCACGCTGGGGGCCGGGTCTGTATCCGATCTTCCTATCGAAAGGGCGGCAATCGTTCCTGGGCGCATCTAGTATTGAGTGTGAAGCGCGCCCAATTTATGATCGCCCCGGCTTTGGCAGTGACGGCGCACTCAGCGCAAGGCCGAACCGCGTGGGCAGTGATGGCGGATCTTGAGAGAGGGCGCGGCGTGAGTTGGATGTCAAGTTGCGTTGCCATCGCGCGTGCGCGGGCGAAAGGACCTTTTGATCTTCCGGCCTTTTGATAGGAAGCCGTGCAACGAAGGTGAGATGGCTGGGCGACGCCGATGAAGGAGGAAAGCCAAAAAGGAGAAAGCGGAGGAGGAGGAGGAAGAGGAGGAGGAGGAGGAGGAGGAGGAGGAGGTGGGGGTGGGTGGGGGAGAGGCGGAGGAGGGTCAACGGAGGAGGAGGAAAAGGAGGAGTGACGATCTGGTTTGGGGGCCTGTACTCCGGTCTCCGGTGGCCTTTCGGGAGGATGTCCGACACTTCGGACAGCGTGTGTGTCGCCCTGGATCTCGAGACCCTGTGCAGGAGTCTGGGCCGTGCAGTTTGTCATGGCCGTCGGTCCAAACCGTTTTGGTAGGGGATCAGAATCTCAGGGATGCTTCGTGGGTCTCCTCAGAACGCTGGAGGCGGGGGCAATGTCAGATGCCGGAGGGATACTTACTAGGTCAGTGTATTGTCCGTGGCTAACATTCGAAGTGCTCGCCGCGCAGGCACGGGGAAATACATGCGAACACCCGCGTTCATAGACGGCAGGCGTCGGTCCAAAAACCGGACGAGTGGTCTCGAATCAGGCGGTGTATCCCGCCACCGTGCTTGGGTTGCGGGTGTGCAGCCACACGGATGGTTGATGGGATATCGTGGGAGGCCAGACAGGGTTTTGCAGGTAGTTTTGGGGCCTCTTGGGGGCTTCCTGGGGGCTTCTTGGGGGCCTTTGAGGTTCTCTTGGGGGTCCCGCAGGGCCTCTCGGGGTGTTCTTGGGGCGGGATTGGGGCGTCTTTGGGCCGAAGGCTCGAAGAGGTGCTCTCTGGACTCCTTCTTGGGGCCGTCTGGGGGCCCTCTTGGGCTGTCTTGGGGGCTTCGTGGGTTGTTTTTGGCTTCGACCCCTGTCGGGGGCCCCTGCGGCCGTCCGGGGGCGATATTCATTGTTTTTTTGCCCGTCTTTGACGTTATGAAATCCGACAAGGCGAGCGTGCGAAACATTTTTTCTGCGAAAGGAATGGAGGATTTTTTTTCTTGGGACCCTCTTGGGACGCATCTTGTGGGCCTTTTCGGGCGCTTTGGCAGCTTCGGATGCCGTCTGGAGGCCATCGCGGGCGTCAAGGAACGATATTTCGGCGACTCGTGGCCCTCAGGGACCGTCTGGGGAGCGTTTTAGTGTTTTCTTGGCCAGTTTAGGAGCCCTCCGCTCCCCCGTGGCGCGTTCGGTCGGGGGGGGTCGTGCCGGGCCAGGGGGGGGGGTCGAATTGCTGGTTTGGGGTCCCAGGGGGGGGCTTAAGGGGGGGGATGATCTCACGCGCCTAGAGACCCACAAAGGGTCGGCTGATTTCGACGAGGGTGAGGGGCATCCTGTACAACGCCAGCATGATGTACGGAAATTCACCCGCGGCCTCCTTTGGTCTCCGACGGTTGTGCCCCTGAGGGATCCCGCGGCTCCGCGCGGGTTCTTCCAATTTCCATAATTTCGATGAGGATGATGATGCTGCTGCTGATTGTGATGATGCTGGTAATGTTGATAACGCTGATGATGATGGTGATGGGGATGATGGCGTTGATGATGATGATGCTGATTAAGAAGATGATGATGATGATGATGATGATGATGATGCTGATGATCATGCTGATGCTGATTAGGGTAATGATATTCGTGGTGTAGTGATGATGATGACGATGAATCGGGCACTTGTGTTTTACGTGTCAAGCTTGTTTTTGTAAAGATTTTCTCCCCGACCCCACCCTGTCCTTGGCCAGCTTCGGCGCTGGGCGGGGGGTGGCGTCCAATGGTGTCCTTGGCCTCCGACGGCTCTGCCCGTGATGGATCCCATGGCTCCGTGCGGGGAATTGTCAATGCTCGATGATGATAGCGATGATTACAGACGTTGTGAAGATGACAGTGATGATGCCGATGTTGATGGGGATGGCGAGATGATGGCGCGAGTTCTTCCAATTCTCGGTGCTTCTGCTGCTGATGGTGATGATGCTGATTGTGGGCAGGATGGTGATGACGACAGTGATGGTGATGATGATTATGATTGTGGTGATGCTGATGATGATGATGATGCTGATGATGATGATGATGATGATGATGCTGATGATGATGATGATGATGATCATGGTCGTGGTCATGATGATGCTGATGATGATGCTGACGGGGCAACGGGCAACACTTATGCAAAGCGCCGGGTTTTTGCACATATTTTTCCCACAACCTTCCCGCGGCCAGCATCGGCGATGGGCGGGGGATGTGGCTTCCCGGGACCTCCTTTGGTCTCCGATGGCTCTGCCCCTGATGGATCCCGCGGCTTCGCGCGGGTTCTTCCAATTCTCGATGCTGCTGCTGATGATGATGATGATCTTGATGACGATGATGGTGATGATGATGATGATGATGGCGATCATGATAGTGAGGGTGGTGAGGATGATGGTGATGGCGACGACGAGGGTGACGCTGATGAAGATGATGATGGTGACGCACATAGTGATGATGACGGTGATGATCATCCTGCTGATGATGATGACTATGCTGATAGTGGTAAGGTTGATGGTGCTTGTAATGGTGATAATGATGGTGATGATGATGTTGATGTTGATGTTGGTGCTGGTGCTGATGCTGATGATGGTGATGCCGACGACGAC